ACATACAAAAAGACTTTGTGAGTGCTGTTCATGACAATGCTGCGGTCCTGACAAACAATAAAGGAAAATGTACGCCAGCCTTCTTTTGTTGCGTACTAATCATGAGTGTTTAGGATTACACCAATTTAGGATGACACGAATATTTTTCATGACCCGAAAGATGCATATCGCTGAGGTTTTGTTGTATGTAGTTGCACTGCTTTAATTAACCACCTTTTGTCAAGCTTTGAGGTGGTATCGTATAGCCACCACCTTTTATAACCGCAAAGTATCACGTGACAGTGTTGTGGCTTTAGACGTGCGCTCCATTTGCCTTCATGTTTTTGGTGGACGTTTTGTGTTGTGGTACTTACCTTTATTTGTGACACAAAGGTGTTTATGATAATGACGAGACGCGGATTCATGTGGCACATACGCATTTGTGGGGCGAATGGTTGCCTTAATTTTAAATGCGAAGCATTTCTTAGCGAACTTCGGCGACTTTGAGCGTATCTATCTATCTATCTATCTATCTATCTATCTATCTATCTATCTATCTATCTATCTATCTATCTATCTATCTATCTATCTATCTATCTATCTATCTATCTATCTATCTATCTATCTATCTATCTATCTATCTATCTATCTATCTATCTATCTATCTATCTATCTATCTATCTATCTATCTATCTATCTATCTAGACACTTACGTTTTGGTACTCTCGTGGTCAACCCCCCCCCCCCCCCCCCCCTCAACTTGGCATGAACCAAAATCACCGTGGGAGGGTAAGATCGTTTTAGGAATGTAACGCGCTGTTCAAGACAGGAATAATGTCGCAATCCCATCGCGTACGTCGTCCAACACTTCTCGCCAGACAGTGGCACATAACCACGGGTGGGTATGTGCCACTGGTATGCGGGTGTGTGCCACAGGTGATAGACACTTGGTATCTACCCAGGAATGACGAGAACACACATGGGCAATTTTAACGCGTGAGCGTTGAGCAATACCCGACGTCGGTAGCGTCGACCCAGCGAAGACACACTGCAGAGTAAATGTCAGTGTTGAGAAAAAACTGACACAGGCAGCGTTGACCCCCCGACGAATGCGAATAAAAAATTTCAGGGTCCCAGCAGGAATCGAACCCAAGCATTCTGCATGGCAGTCAATCATTATACCACAGAGATACGCCATGTCTCGGACCTACTTTTCGAATAGACGCTAATCTTCGTGAAACGTGAAAAGTAGTTCCAGTGCTGCCTACCCAATTTTATAAACATTACGTATATACTCCTTTGATACAGCCGTCACGTCGGGTTAAGGTCAATTGTGGTTAGGTTCCATGAGCTGAAGTTGATTTATGTAGCAGTGTCCACGGTTCACGGCCAGCATCTTCGCGAGCATCAGCGCTTCATATCGGCTTGTGGTGTTGCTAATGCGCATGTTGCAGTTGACATCGTTGCGCAAGTGCAAACAACTGATCATATAAACATCTGCAACTATTCAGCATATGTCTGTGCGTCCAACATTTCTACACGTATATTTAGCGTCATTTCATTACGTGTCGCTCAATAAAAAAAATTGCAACATGGTCACCTTACCTCCGCGTGCTTCGCATAACGTCAATCCCCAGGTACGTCGGATCTGCCGAACTTTTTTAGTGGACAAAAAGCGAGTCATGGGATTTACCCAATTTTTGTGGCACGCACCCGTTTATGAGGCCCACATGTGTTACCACAGACCCCACGCATCAATGCCTCAACCAAGCCCAGGTCCACAGATTAAAAAAGAAACCCATGCCACGGCCGCTGGATAAAACACATTTTTTTATTCAGTGGCCGTGCCTATGCTTATGCGACGTCAAATGCACTGGAAATATGAAACAAGCAGACATGAATCGTGGCCAAAGCTTGATACTTATTAAAATTTGTGTCACTCTGTCCCTATCACCTAAGAACGTTCGCGAAACACTTAAAAACATGATGGGCTAACGCGTTATGGCGTGTACTCATAACGTTTTCTTTTTTGTTCTCTTCGTTGTTAAAAATACATTCTCGAACTGCATACCAAGCAACTTCTTGTACCATTTTCATCTGACGTAGCACGCCAAGCTTGCAGCCTATCTTATGTTCCCATCTTTCACTAAGATACCGTGCCTGTCGCCATGCTTCAATCATTTGTAATTTATACAACTACACTTTTGAAGTCACCGCTCAAATTTTTCAATGCATTTATCGTTTGTTGAATGGCTAGCCTCAAAATAGCGTTTTATTCATCATACTTATGGGTTCCTCTAACTTATAGCAATTGCTGCCTCTAATGACCAGGTACCATCATGAAGAGTGGACTAGTGCAAGTGTACATACTTAGTGCACGTATTAGGGAGAATATATAGGAACTCTTTTCTCTCATACCAAAATCCCTTGCTGTCGTTCTGAAGAGCAGTGTGTTTCAATGGCTCGGCTATGCAATCCAACCTCCAACAATATAAAACCGCGTAATAATCCATTTTTAAGCAGGGCTTTACCACATGACACTTTTGTGATACTGTGGAACCAACGCAATGTAATGCGGTGAAGCACATTTGCCAGGCAACGCTCTCACAAACCACATTCCACATTTCAATGTGGCAAACCGGGTACTCGCATGTGGTTGAATTACATGGTTTCCCGCTATATTCGTCATGGTGTGCAATCAAGAAACTGAAGAGTGAATGGTTGGGCAGCACGAGCAGTCGTTTTAAATGCGGAGCGTATCTTAGCTGAACGTGGTCGCACCTCACCTGTGGTCTTGCGCTGCCACTGAGATCGGCCCATGTTTGATAAAACGATGATGTGATGACATCACGTGAAGTCACTTGAGATGACGCCATACGGATGTTTTGATGACTTCACAAATTTTAGTGACTTTTGACTTTATGATGGCGTAATCAGCTGACGATAATTTTTCGCATCACTCTTGTGTACGCCGATGGCAGACGCCGATGTGGGAAGCTGGTCATTTTACTTCGTATTGCGCCAATTTGCAACCTTCAATTTACACTTTAGCATTCTACACAATAGTTATGAAGTGATGATATAAACATTTTGGCTAGTTTTTATACGATAACAAATGATATTCGCAACAAAAACGAATTGCCCGTCCATCAACAATGCGGCATTTCATGGCACCTCCGGGGGTAGTTTGAAAAAAGTAAAATTGTAGGCCACTTGAGCTTCATTTTTAAGAGTAGCGTAACACGATAGCGTAATTGATCCGAGTTCGCATCACCTTCTGACACGTTATCGTGGATTCACTTTTTCGTGACAACGTTAACCACGGCGTTATAGTAAACGAACATATGTGTACCTAAAATATGACATTTAAACTATCCTGGAATGCCTACAGCAAGTACAATTGCGAAGTGCCCACTACGCCATAATTCTTCCACTGGCGATTTAAGTAGACGCTACGCGTGTCCGTAAGGCAAAACGCGCAGCTGCATAGCTGCAAAATTTCACGATGCGGTAGCTGATAACCAGAATTGTGCCTGAGCGCCTTGTTAATGTTGGGCCTTTAAGTTCGCTTCGCTACTCGCTGCGCTATTCACACGTTCTAACGCCTGGGGTGATTCTGCCCTGCCGCCTCGCTTTATTACATGCGTCAAGGAGACATCCACGCACAACACGACATTATTATCAATTTTTCTTTTTTTTTCGGAACAATTTCAAGCATAGGCATGGGTCTTTGTTTGAACACCCATACTTACCGTGCAGAGGACCTGAGTTCATTTCCTATCCGAACCAATGATAATTATTAGAAGCGAAGTTCCTTGGGGTGTGGGTCATTCCCTTGTAGTAGTAGTAGTATGTTGTAGTAGTAGCCACTTCTAGTTAGTTTCAAGAATTGCTCACAAGGTGGCATTGTGTGTATATGTCCTTAGAAATATTGTCACTAATTGGCGTTAGTGGTTTTCGTATAAGAAATTCACAGCATATCCGTGGAGTGAATGATGATGTGTGGGGCGAAGCATCCATCCGTTCATCCGTATGTCCGTCCGATGCGTGCTCTAGTGTGATAGGAGCCGATGGAGAGATAGACAGTCAGACGGATCGACGGACGGACAGATGAACTAACAGACAAATGGATGTACGCTTCGCCCCAGTCATCATCATTCACTCCGTGGATATGCTGTGATTTTTCACTTATTGCATCTTTCTGGAATGTTCCCTCCCGAACAACGGAAGTTTCAGCTCATAACCAACGACAGCGAAGCCGACACTGGAATTTCTGCGAAGCAACCTCTTTAACGTTCTCGCGTTGATTCCGATGCTCATGCACGATGCTGTCGTCAATGCAGTGTTGATTCGTTGTACGATGCAACCAGCTGACCTGACACGTCGCTCAAAAATTACAATTGACTTCTTCTCACTAGCCTTGCCCGCCGTGGTGGTGGGGCGGCGAAGGTCACAGTGTCCCTTGCGTCCGCGGTGGTCGCATTTTCGTGGAGGGGAAACGCTGGAGGGTCATGTGATCTCAGTGCACGCTAAAGCTTCAAGAATACCAGGTGGTTACAGTTTACGGAGCCATCCACTTCGGCACCCCTCATAATCACATCGTGGTTCTGAGACGTAAAAACTTAGGTATCATTATTTCTCAATAGCCTGTATGAACAAGTGTCGTCTGGCAATAAGAATAATGACGATTACCTGAACTTGAACTCATTTTTTCAACAACCACTGTAATCTCAGTGACATAAACATTACTGACACTGCAAGGCAATTACATGCTAATTTATTATTATTATTATTATTATTATTATTATTATTATTATTATTATTATTATTATTATTATTATTATTATTATTGTTAATATTATTATTATAGCTGCTATTATTATTCTCGTTATTATTACCATTCTGATGGTTATCTGGTCTTTGCACCTTTTTGCTGTGGCCTTTTTGAGTTGTACTTACCATTTCGAGGTCCGGAGATTCCCAGGCGAGGTTTTATAAAATGCTGCTTTAACAGTGCGGAGTGAAAAAAGAAAGTTGTGTGGGTTTATTATCCGATATTAACAAAAAAGCGTCTTTTTCTTGCATTGGCTGAGTGGCTGTCCCGCAGTGAGGCAGGAGTGTCGCAAGTACGAAACAAACAAACAAAGAACAAAAAGGGTGGTGTGCGCATGAGCGAGAAAGTGTGGGCGCGCGTGTCCACATTTCTATAGCACAATATTGTGGCGCTGGAGGTCGTCAGTGTGAAGTCAGTCCAGGGCGGGTGATCGATCAGTAGACCTCTAACCGCGTGATGCTGTTCCATAGCCTCATGAGGCTGTAGCCCTGACGTTTCTCCTTTTTGGGCCGCTTGCTCTCGTCGATGCCCATATGGTCGAGAGACATCAGCAGGTCCCGTTTCTCCTCGAGATTCTTGATCCAGGCCGCTTGGGTACAAAGCGATTTACTGTTAGCATAACGAGCTAGAACAAGGCCTCTCGACCTCCTATCAGGAAAAGGATCACATGCAGAGAACTCAGTGCCTCAAAGACTGCACTATTTAAACACAAAAGCGTTTCATTCTAAGTTCCGCCAGTATTTCGACGTCACTTCCGCGATGGAAATCACAAGTGCATTTTCTTCGTGCGAATTCTTGATGACGTCATTCTCGTGACGGAAATGACGTCATTAAGAATGCAAGTGAACCTGTCACAGAGAAAAAAAATAAGAAAACATTTAGCGTGGCACTTGGTCGCGATCATGGAAATAAACACTTCTTGGTTCGGGAAAATACGAGCCGGGCACACTAGCCGATGCACCACCAGCGGTAATGCTAAAAATGGCAAGAACATGCCTCATATTCTATGCGAACGCCTCCCCCGTTTACTACGCTTTCGGTAGATGCCACGCTGAGAAATACCAATATAGGACTAGAGTACAATTGCATCATTGCCATACTCATTTCTTGCGCGCGGTCCGCGCACAACTACTTCTGTGACGATGTATCTTTTTTTTCATGCTACAACGATTTCAAATGGGGAGGGATCAACCATCTATTTTCTCGTATGCGATGACGACAATGAACATGATCAAAGGTGTATGCAAAGGCAGGTAAGGCTCGGGATAAATCAAGAGGCGAGTGACGGCCAGATGCTGGTGGCGCAAGGACGTGAACAGCAATGTGTTTAATCTAAAACAAATGTCGGAGATGACGACTAACCCGATTTAACAGTAATCCGCCAACTGACAATGTGCCTTTGACAAATATATGCCCACCTGCCATAAAGCTGGCCTGCCTGTCAGGTGCGCTTATTCCTTTTCATACAACCTCTTCAGCACAATGTACTTAATGCAGAATAGAATAGCAAATCCAAGCTATTACAAGAAATTAAGGTACAAAGGAAGCACTCCTCAGTTCGCTAAGCGCAAAAGTAGCCTGCCTCACTTTTCTTCTCTACCCTTTATGGTCTTGGCTACTCGTACCAGGCAATGGTTAAAATACTGATTTATGAGAGTGTGACTTAGGGCGACTGGGCAAACCGAACATCCCTGACCCGCGGTCTAGTTAATAAGGCACTCGGCTGCTGACCCGCAGGTCGCGGGATGAAATCCCGGTCGCATTTTCGATGGAGGCAAACGTCCGTGAGGCCCCTGTGCGTAAATTTAGGTGCACGTTGAAGAACCCCAGGTGGGCGAAATTACCGGAGTCCTCCACTACGGCATTTTTCATAATCATACAGTAGTTGTGGGACACAAAACCACAACAATTAATATCAAACCGAACGTCCCTGCTCTTGAATTTTTTTATTTTTTATTTGAAGACTGCAGCCTTGTCGTAAAAATGACTACAATGCGTATTTAGGACCATATTTTCGCGTAAGGTACACCGCTGTGCCCACTGATGTTTGCCCTGTAAACAGTACCTTTATCAAGTAAATTGCTCAAGTAAACTACTGCTTCAGTGAAATCACAAAACAATAAGAAAAGAGAGCAGTGACTACGGCCTCTCAATTGTTCACCATTGTGCAGAAGCAGAGGGCTTCTGCACAAGCATAAGGCTTTGGTCTACTTTATATGCCCATGAAAGTGTATGACAAATCAGGTTTAACTTGATCAGGTCCTTGGCTGTTTGGATCGGCTAATTAAAAAAAAAAGACACTCTAAAACGAACTTCTGGAACAGCGTGGCCCAAATTCGTATGAAATGCCAAATATTCACGGGAAGTGAGACGTTTGAAGTGAACAAGCATGCAACGTCTAAGAAGAATTTGAAGGTGGCAAAGATGTATACTTGTAGCTGTCAGAATGAAATTTGTTTCATGACATCCTACTAGAGCTCCGCCCAATGCGACAGTCTCTGCGTGCTTCCGGTCGAAAAATGTTAAACACTGTGTCATCTGTGGATACACTTGGTTTCCTACCTGCCATCTCCTTGATCGGAATGCTCCCTCCGAATTCCAGGGGCAAGATCTCGGGGGCTATGTGCTCATGGAGACTGGATACCTCGAAGTGGACAAACATCTGCAAGTGACACAGTTAATGAGGTGAGATCACTGTTATTGAGTGGGCTCCAGAGTGAACTGCATACCCTGCTCTGCAGCTTCCGGCTGAACATGCTCAGGGCCAGCTCGTAGATGGCCGAGATGTACCTCGGCACGTTCACCCAGTGGATGTTTTTTGTGGCGCATCGGCCAGCCTTTCTGCGGAGGAGAAACGTAGGCAGGCGGCACAGCAGCTGTGGTCAGTGATCATGCACCGTTAGTATTAATACATAAAACACGATTCTACTTGTTTGGGCAGCATGAAAGATGCCGCAAAGTCGCAAGTGATAATCAGTCAGAAAACAACATCAAGTTCACTTCAACTGTGGAGACATGGTGCATCTAACAAAATTGTGTTTTCCCATTGGTCGTTTATTTGTAAATTGTTTAGGTGCGCTGGCATAGCACAGTGACAACAGCTTCGCTAGTTTCTTTCTGGCAGGTTATCTAAAAGCAAACAAAAGTAGAAATCTGTGCGCCGTGCAGCAACATTTTATATTTACATCAACAATGGTTCGGCATAGTTTAAGAACACATCTTGGAGCTGGTTAGCACGGTATGTTGAACGTTGTTTGTGGGCACGAATTAGTGCATAAAAGGGCGCTCCTTTTTCGTGAATGCTAATTCACGTCAAGAAATAACGTTCAAGAATGTTGAATATTCTTTCGGTGTATGGCATCACATGTGGCTTGAGTACAAGCACAGCTGTGCTGTGCTCGCTTAAGTTCCCGTGATTATACATCAATCGATATTATGAAGGGGGAATGTTTTGTTACGTTTCATGCGTTACAAGCAAAGTTTTTTTGTAATTTAACTAGCCGGAGACAACGGGCGTTAGTGAGTATTATACAGATGGCAGGGGGATGTGTAGGATGTACTCGATGATGTTGAAACAGGATTCAGGCTTCAACAGTGTAGCGAACCTGACAAAGGCAAAACTGCACAAGGCGAGAGCTGATTGATAACTGTATATTTCGTTCAAATGAAAAAAAAAATGCCGCTTACATTTGTGGCTGGAACCTACAACAGAGCTGATGTTGAACATAGCGAAGTTTTGCTAGAGATGCTAACTTTTTGCTAGAAGTATCAAGTATGGCTAGACTTGGCTATTCTTATCCAGTTTCGGTCGGTTCCTCATCTTACGTATACGTTTCTCGTCGTTTTGGCGGGAAGAAGTAATGTGACTAAGTATATGATTCCAGGTGATTAGGTCCCGTGGCTTGTTGTTAGAAATTGTTACGTTACTGTGGTCCCGCGACTAGCTGTTATATGGTTTTTAGCGGGAACATGTCACATGACTACGTGTTGCTTGGTTTTAACGAGAAGATGCCAAGTTATTAGCAATCACGTGGGGTTACATGATTTTAGTCACATGACAAGCTCTTACGTTGTTTATGGCGGGAACGTGTGACAAGGCACGCTGTTACGTGATGTGATTTTAGTAATGTCACTAGCTGTTACATATTTCATGGCGACAACATGTCATGTGGCTTGCTGTTGAATGACTTCATGTGATTTGAGTCATGCGACTAGTCGTTAGGTGTTAAGCGTGGCTAGTTGTTACGTGGTTTTTGAAGGAGCAGGCCAGACAACTAGCTGTGACATGGTTTTGGCAGGAACATATCATTAGACACCATGTTATGATACGTCATTTTAGTCACTTTTCTACTTGTTTCGTGGTTTAAGACGGGAAACAGCTGTCATGCGGTGTTGCATGATTTAAGTCCTATGAACACTTATTGAGTGATGTTAGTTACATTAATTCATGTTGCCGTACGTTACGTGATTTTTAGTCATGTGATCAGTTGTTATGGCATGTACCATGATTTTAGTCCCATGACTAGTTCGATGATGTTACGTGGTTTTTAGGCTCCTAAATGTTACGCGATAATAATAAATTGCTAGTGATGTGGCTGGTTTTAGGTGGTGTTATGCGATTTTGCTGACGCGGCTGTAATGCGCGATGTTAGGTGATTTTAGACGTGTGACAACTTCAGGAATGTCACGTGATTTTATTCCCGTGACTAGTTCTTACGTCACCTTACATAATTTTTATTTACATACCTGACTCGCTCATAATAGCCACAGAATTTCACGTCGGACAAATTCGTGCACGTTATGTGGGAGTTGAAGCAGAAGTTGAAGAAGATGAAGCAAGCGTGTACCGGCTGATGATAATGCTGATTTCTGTTCGCACTATACCGCGCAGTGAAAACCCCGAAAAGCTCCTCTCTTAAACAGAAAATATAGAATTACACACGCAACCTAGAGTATACAACAAAAGAAGTTAAGGGGCCTGCTGGAATTGTCGCGTGTTATCCAGATGTGCAACTTGACAGTGACGAAGAGCAGCCAGCCTTTCTGTGACACCATGTAACCTGAACGAAGATATATTGTGTGTGAACAAAATTCTGCTATGTGTGTGAACGAAAATGTATTTCAGTTATTTATGTGTGAACAAAGTTGTATTGTGTCGGTGAACGGAGATGTACGTCATTTATTGATGTAACCCCCCTGCTATAACGCCTTCGGGTGCTGCGGGTTATCTGATGAATAAAGAATAAAGAATAAATTTTTGCAAATAAAAACGGCTGCAGCAATATCTATTTGGGAAAATAGTAATCCATGTCTTAGCGCCATGGTGATCCCGCTTAATGAACGTGGGATAACATGTCTGGAAAAAGCGTGATGATGCTTTGGATGTTTTGTTAAATTTAGTAGGTTGAGCGCGCCATCGATAATGTCATTATTTTTTCATTTCAAAAGTGTAGTTAGCTGTAAATCAGCGCTTCTGTACTGAAATTTCTCGCTTGTTTCATGTTCTACCCTGTTTGGACAATGAATCCAACCAATTGGCCATTTTTCTGAAACAGGAACTCCTGAAAAGAATGGTACTTTGTTGTTATACGTGCCAGGGTCTGAAGTATCACCATGTTCGGTCTGTCATGGATCTGTTTTAGTGTTAGAAAATAAATGATATACTTTCATGCGGTAAATATCTGAGGCTGCACTGGTGTAAGAGGTTATTTGTGTAGATTCGATTGAGTAAGTTTTTACCTTGTAACCTTCCTGTCACAGGAACATTTCTATACATATCATGTGCAACAAAACCAGTACTTTTGAAGGTTGTCGATTGTAGATTCCAGATGTTCTGTCCTGTCGCACGTACTTACAAGCCAATTTTCTTCTTTTTCATCCATCCTTCTTGAGCTCCGTATCTAAGAGATGTCCTTTCTGCAAAAAATCTCAAGTGTCTCTCGCTTTGTATGAGCACTGCTCGCAGCCCGATAGTGAAAGTGGCTATGTTTTGATTTTCTGTCAAAGGCTTGGTTGTTGTATAGAATTCATTGCTAGCCCCACATTCATCTTGTTTTAAGTCAGTATATCTAGATAACCTAGGTATGACGAAAAATATACGTCAGAGACTTGAAGTCACTCGTTCCTGTTAAATTATATGAGGGAGTTGGTCCATGGCATCTTCAAGTTGGCGCATTAGGGTACCGTGGACACATCGAGTGTTGCCGCACCCCTGCTCTTGCTGAAGGTACTCCATGATGGCGTATTGCAACTTGCGAAACAAGCCTTAGTACGCAGAACAGCAACTGCCCTGCATGTATGCTATTTCTGTGTGTATATATTTTGAAGATTTTAGTTATGAATGTAGCACATCAATTTTTGCATGAGAGTGCTTATGCCGTGAAAAAAAAACTTTTTGTTGGTAGCGTATGACTCATAGTTATGTCGTTAGAGCACACTTTCCTATAGAAAGGGACGTTTTTTCAATGGCTGTACAAGAGCTGTTTTGATGGTTAATTCTTTGTTAATTCTGGACCAACATGACACAAACCTCTCTTCTATGAAGACAGTTAGAACCTAGGGTCTCAGTAAAACAGTTATTTCCTGCAGTAAATGGTACTTCCCAGAAGAAGGCAGATTCTTCTCGTACAACGAACAACTTTCCAGAAAATTTATAGGATAGCGATATCTGAACATTTTGTATCATAACTTGCAACTATACATCATTAGAGTGCAAAACTCTGCGCTGCATCATAACTGTGTGCTACATCATTAGAGTGCAAAAGGGTTTGGCTAGAAATTATGCAAAGCTGTTTTATTTTGTAACACAGCTCGCGTTCCTCCATAACTATAGGCAATGTAGCACTTCTTAGAACAATCCAATGATGCAAGGATGAATTGGCTGCATACAGAATATGGGCTGAGGACTTTCATACTACGTGGAATAAAGTGAAACGATGGAGCACCAGGACGAATCGAATATTGACGGGAATTCATCTAATGCAGCGTTTAAAGCTAATAATGCGCGCAATCACCCTCCCCTTCGTCTATTGTTTACGAAGCTCTCAATGTAGACGGAGGAGATGCGCGACTCATCGACACTAGTGCTTATCATAGATCTAAGTACACACCTACACCTTAAAAGAAGGTAACTTTCTACCAATGAGAGGAGCACTTGCCTCGCCATTGATCATGACTCGTTGGACATCCCTAAGGTTGACGTGCGCCAAGTGACTTAGCCTGAATCCGCTCTCGTCAAGGATGTAGGTGAGGCCATTCTTCTGGTTGTCCTCATCCTCCAGCAGCGCCTCGAAGCTCATTGAGAACGCCCGGTAGATGTCGATTGTTTTGTGGATGCGCGGTTCCAGGGCACCTGCGCAAGTTCACAATGTTAGCCATTTATGAAATGTGCAAGGCCTCGTGTTTACTAGTTGTCCGAGTTTGCTACAGTAAACTCTGACAAGTTTATTCGTGCTTAGAACAATTTTCTCACGTAAAATGAGTTAAGGCCAGACATCACCGAAATACGGCAATTTCGTTTTTGTGGAGATTTACACATTCACGTCGGTTGAGCTTATTGTCCAGTAAGTTGGTCTTACCTGTAAGGAAATTATTCTTATACGTGACTATTGCACATATTCATCACCTTCCTGTCCCCATCATCATACCTCATCATATTTGTTTGCTTTTTTTTTTCTCGTGCAGAGTAGCAGCTGAGAGTGTACTAGCTCCGGCCCACCTCTCCATCCTCCTCAAAATAATTTTCTCTCTCTCTCTCTCTCTCTCTCTATGCCAATTCAATACCTGACTCACGTCAAGCTCCAATAAATCTGATCGTTGTCGTGAATGCACGTATCATTATCAAAAAACAGGTATGCAACAAACTTGCTAATGTTGGTACACCGGGCCTTTGTTCTAGTTAATGAGACGCTGAAATGAAAAAAAAAATTCACAGCATATCGATGGAGTGAATAATGATGATGAATGGGGTGAAGCATTTGTCTGTCTGTCTGTCTGTCTGTCTGTCTGTCTGTCTGTCTGTCTGTCTGTCTGTCTGTCTGTCTGTCTGTCTGTCTGTCTGTCTGTCTGTCTGTCTGTCTGTCTGTCTGTCTGTCTGTCTGTCTGTGGATATATGCTGTGTTGGCTATGCACTGCCCTAGACCATAATGAGGTTTGCCCTTAAAAGGTTAGGCCATTCTGTTTTAGAGATTCTGGGATAGACCGCGAAATATGGACGCTAGAACAGCGTGAGCGAACGCATTTTTGGCATTATGGTGCGACTACCTTGAATGACACTGAAAGAGAAAGAGGCAACAAGTTTAAGTACTTTCCTAAATTCTAAAAACATAGGTTTTATAACTCACTAATTAGTCTATGAACTCGGGTTCACACAGGTTAGGACCTACCAGTGAGTCAGAGTTCACGAAAGACAAGTAAATTTTGGCAAGTATCGCTCAAGGTAGTCTATCCGAGTGAAAATTTCTATGAACCTGAGTGAGCCCTAAGAAAAAAAAAACTGGCCCCGGATCTGCATGGTGCAGTGCATATGCCATTGAAAGACGATAATCTTGCGTCTGGAGAAAGCGAAAGAGACATTTATTTGATGTTCTGCGCGAGAAAATCGGTGAATGGTATACTGGAGGCGCTGCGTTAGAGTGCCTCGAGCGTGCAGCGGAGGTGAACGAGCGCATCAAGTCACGTCACACGTGAGACATAAGCGCCATCTGGCAGTTGTCTTAAAAAAGAAAGCGCGTAGCTCAGAGACGGATGTGCGCGCCCGCCTCAGAGGTGATAAGGTGTAGAACGCAAGGCGACGGGTAGGTGCCACTACCGTTTCGTTTTAGCAAAGCGTTGGAAACACTCGCCTTTCCGTGCAAGCGTTGCATGGTCAGCGCAGCGTGATAAGCGCTACGCTCCTTAAAATTCCTTATGTATGCCTTTTCTAGTAAGAGACACACAATCAGAATATATACGTATCGTTATGGTGCCCCGGACATGCGCAGTAATTGCTTTTTTTTAATTGACAATTGCACAAGCATGAAGTTTCAACCTTGAGCAACATAGGTGGGCGCTGTGGATAGGGTCGGCCGTTTCAAGTACCCGATGCCTTTAAGAATGGACAAATAGACAAATGTACAGACAGACAGACAGACAGACAGACAGACAGACAGACAGACAGACAGACAGACAGACAGACAGACAGACAGACAGACAGACAGACCAAAATTTTTGCGTCGAAGGTCCCCAAGAAAGACTATCGCCCTTAAAAAATGTATCTTCGGAGTCAATTAGAGCAAGTTATGTGCAACTTGCGGGCTTGACGAAAATTATAGTCTCGGTAACGGCGGCGGTGTGATCTAGCGCACCGTGTTCATCGCGGAAATGTCCACTATGGTCGTGTAAGAGCACCCTCTGAAGTGCAGGGGCACTGTTCACGTTATCGTGTGACTTCGTGGCTGTCACTTGCAGCCCTCACCCTAAGCTCCCAATTCAGCAATGTGTATCAATTTTCTCAAGCTCCCTTATCCCAGCAGCATTGACAGGACAAATTGACTGAGCTTTAACTAAGCAATGGTGGCGCCAGGCCTGAAAATCTTCACTCCTCCGCCTTTTTTTTTATTTGATGCTCTGTCAGTGTCTCCGCCGGATGCAGGCTTGAATGAAAAGTGGGGAAGGTTCAACGAGCTGCGCGAAACGTCTAAGCTTGTGCCAGTACGCCACGCGGCGCTATTTCACCCCTGCCCTTCAGGTCACATATTGCTAGAAGCTTCGGTGCGCTGGCTCTGAGGCTGCGAAAAGCGTGCGAGATCGACGTCGGAGATAATAACGTCAAGGTTTGTAGAATTAGATGTACTTAGGCAGCTGGTTCAATGCCTGTTCCTGCTCAGTGCTCGCCTTATCTCAATCACGTGCCTCATATCGATGCTGCTTGTTTCAGTGCAGGAACTACGCAAGCTTGAATTTTTCGCGACTGAAGACTGGCGCCATACTAGTTTCCGCGTACAACTGAATACCGCTTGACGCTACTCGTATCAGCGCAGCTGACTTTCCGTCTGAGGAGATGGGGGGTGGACCCAGTGCCCAACGCCAGCTTCGATAACACCGAGGAAGGTGTATGTTGAAGTTTCGACAGTGCTCGAAACGTTCAATCGAAAATTTTCAACCGCGAGTGTCGTGGAGGAAGAAAGGAATCCTAGGAGCGGGCAAGATGCCAGGCAAGTATAGCATAAGCCAGCCAGCTTCCTCTGACGCTAAGCTAAGACGTTCTTGTAGGTGCTTGTTTTTGAGATGGCTCTTGGGGAACATGCCCTCCACTGTTGCCATACCTTGACAAGGTTTCGGTACCATGTGGCACACTCTCACTAGGCGCTTCGTAGCAACCCTGGTCGCAGTTGCCCTCACCACATGGTCTTTAGCGAGCATTATTCTTTCGCGCATACTACACATACTCAGAGGCCAGAGAGAGATGAAAAAAAAAACAGCAAAGTTAATGACATATTTGTTTACGATTTGCTACTGGTTGGGTAAATAGATGTTCAAAAGAAGATGCTGAGGGAGACAACCCCCAAAAAGGAAGTAAACACATAAACACTTCCAGGAAGTGCGTTATAATACATAGTTTCAGAAAGGCCAATGAACCGCAAGAACTGCAGTAGCGTTTGCATAGCCTATACTTCTACTCACGCATGGCTCGATAACAGCCTATTTAGCAGAGGCATTTTTCTTTATTCTCAACTTTTGCTGCCGTGGTTGCAAGTAAAACATCCCAGTCATTGAAATTATTTCGAATCTACGGCGACCTAGAAATAATTTGGGGACACTAAAGCTTCGCCTTTAGGAGTTGAACGCAATAGCGACATGTTGTTTCTAGTGCGTACTTCAAACACTTAGTGCATGAAACCTTTTCGAATTTGCTATGCACCAACTATACGTGGCCTTCGGGGAATAGGTGCAGTAGCGTGTGTGCCTTTTCTATAGTGGGGTACCGGCTTTCAACCACGGAGCCATTATGATAATCACATATTCTGACGCCCGTTAGCAATGTACTCTTGTACCACGCATTATTATTGCAATATTTTATGTTGCATTGCGAAACATGTATACAGGACGCGTGTGTTTGTGAAGCATGAAAGCTACTTTCACTACATTTTCAAGCGGAAAAAAGTTCTCACCGTTTGCACAAGCAGAGGCGGGTCCGTGTGGCAGAACATCCGCTTGCCACGCAAACAACTCTGGTTCGATCCCCAGTTGGATCCAAACAGGCCTGCTTCATTCCCCGCTCTGCTTAAGGATATTTTATTATTTATCTACTTTGTTTGCACCGTTCTCAATTTTTCGGTAACACACAAGATGATGATTTTTCGCTCACAACCAACTACACCGACGCCGACGTCAGAACTTCTGCGAAACGAGCTCTTTAACGCCATTGCGTAAGTTTTACGCTTTAGTTCACCCTATAGAGACAGTGGCGGTACCTTATCGTTACAAGAAAACCAAATTTAATTTTTTCTTGCCGTTGTTCCACGCAGCACCGTTTCGTGTTATGGGCACCTTATGGGCAAGAAAGCTACACTATTTTAACAGCGAAGTGGCTCCAGCTCGGCGCAAAATGTTTGCAGGGACCGAGAACTGTCTTCATCGTGCACGAGCACACACTGTCTTCTCCCTCCTCATTGTTGTCCAGTTCGCTTCAAGTACGCGTGCGCCGACTTCTAAGCGGTTATGAACAGAAGAATTGAAGAAAATAGGGGTGACCAGACAAATCGGCACAGATATAACGAGTGGAGAATGAAAGGTATTGGAGAGATAAAGAGTTCGCCGGCATGACCTGTAGTAATCCTGGTGGGTGAGACAACGAGTAGAAAAACAGAGAAAAATCTGAAAGAAGAAAAATAGATCCTTGCCCCCCCCCCCCCCCCAAAAAAAAAATTCTTCGCGAGACGGGATTCAAACACGGGTAGCTGCAATGCCACACAAGGGTGGCGCTAGAACGTTTTTAGGGGGAGGGGGGTATTCATGGTGTTTTACTTTGGAGGGTGAGGGAAAGGGTAGCACTGATATGATGTTTTGAATATATTTGCTTTCAGATGGGTAAGGGATGCAGGCGAGAATTTCAGGGAGCTGTTGCACTGAGACGCGCAAAGCTTGGCACATTGAAGATGACTGACCGTCAAGGAACTTTAAACGTACCAAACCTACTTACGACATATCAAAGCACAGCAACAACAACCATCTACAACATAGTGGCATATGGAGTTAGCTTAAACACGTGAGGATCGACCAGCTTCCACGCATTAGTACAAACCTACCGATCTTTGAATAAATGGATAAATTTTTGGTATTCGATTGAGCCTACATAAAAGATTACTCGCATGAAATTGTAAGTACTCCGAACATTCTGTCGGGACCAAGTAATTGGCTTATGTTTTCCACAAGGCATTACTTGTTCAGTTAGTTTAGCCATCATTTAATGGAATGAATTTCTAATACCGCGTTCAGCTCATTTCTTTTCTTCAAGGGGGTTTTCACAACCGGATAAGTGTAAAATATGTGGGTTACGTGCGCCTTGTCACTGTCGTACTTGTTTACCTACATAGTGTGCATGATACATTAACCAGGCGTTGCGTTGTTATCAAATATCTCTAGCTATTTCCATACCGCAAATAATAAAAATTTATTTGCCTGTTCCGCGTACAGCTGCTCAAATCGAGGGCACGGTTTTGAGCAGTTACCACTGTGCTCGCACGTTGTGAAATTCTTGATGCACGGTGGACAAGTGCTCCTTTGCAGTGGACATAGAGAGATGTAGACTTTATTAATTTCCGACAGATTTCTGGGGTGGGCCCCCACCTAGGGGCCAACGGAGAGACCATATGATCAAACATAATTTGCAGTCCTCATCACAGATATCGCTTAGGAACGACACCCCTCCCCAACTCTTTTCATACCTATCTCCATTTCATCTTTAAAAGAATAACCAATCTCTAGGAGTGATGCAGAAGTGTGACGCTTAAATAGCTCCCCCTTTATTGTTCAGCTGCAATCTGAAGCTCAATATGTAACGAAGGGGGCCATATTACAGAATCTGAGAGAATACCTGATGTTCGCGGTGTGCAACCTGAAAACGAGTTAACGAAGATTGACTGATGCGCTAATTGGCTTATGTTGACATGAAGAGATTCCTACGTAGGAGGTGAAAAAAGAAGCGAACACACACGAAAGCCTTTTCTGAGAACCCTCTTGTTTCGTCACGTGGTAGCATAGGATGCTTCATCTAATTGATATAGAGACACTTAGGCGTATGTATCAGTTGATCGTGAAAACAAGAGCTTGTATATAATAAAACAGAGAGATAGTCAGGAGGCTAGACTGAGATAGTTGGAGTAACACAAGAAGGTGATGAATGGGCTGTGTGATTACTAATGCTTGCCATTACTTTTCAAATGGAATGGTTGTACAAATTATCACCGTCAAATATAAAAAATACGGTGCGCAAAGAAGATGCGCGAAAAGGCAGTCACCAAGTGAATAAAGCCAGTGTTACTTGAATAATGCGGAGACGATGATGTAGTTGCAAGTGTTACATGCCTGACCGAGCTGGCAGGCGATCGCACGACTTAGGCGCACTTACCTGCTAATCCAAACACGACTGTGCGCCCCTGACTGTCCTTTTCGAAGAGTGGGAAGAAGTACCTGTGCAAGGGAGATGGCAAAAAGAAAACGGACATATAAAATTTAATTTCCTGCATGTACTGTTGCAAATGTATTATTTTTTTGTAAAGTACCCGTGTATCCCATGCTCCAGGAACACAATAGTTGCAGGATTAACGAGGACGCTGCTGATTAACATTGCGAATGCCCTTGAACCTGTATGATACTGTTATTATTGCGATATCATTCATGCAGATCATCCAACAGACTTTTGCTGTCGGTGTCGCCGTGGCCGTCATGTTCCGTCATGGATAACATCCCCCGTACATCTGATGTTCTACTCCCTCGTAAAAAAGCGCGCCAGCAAGGGTGTCACACGTTGCTCAAGCAGACATCAAACAAGCCAACCCGTCTTCCCATCTTCGTGAGACTCAGGCTGCATTCCATACATCCCTCCACATGTTAGACTTGCCGTTGAATGCTAAAACAGGATAGGAATCGCCCCGCCTGTCTTGAAGGAGCATGAATAAATGAGTAGGGGGTTGTCGCTCGGGCAGCAGCTGTGAACTTTGATTGGAGTTTGTGGTCACAATCGGCAGTCATCAGCGGACGGCTCGTATGTCCTTCTGCGTATTGCACTCTCAACGCGAATAGACTGTGCGAAAAAAAAGCATCTCTCCTTGGAACGGCCGCCTTCTCTTACCCCAGCGTTTATAGTGAAACGCGACATCAGATTGAAAAGAGTTAGCTGCCAACCTTCCTTTCCACAACGTTGCAACTTATTGCTCTTGCATTCGTTTATTTGCCTTTGCGGTGAAAACCTGATTTCATAAATTGCATTTGTGCACATAAGGTAGAAAATCGGGAAATGAATACTACTGATCAACAGCATCGATTGTAATAAGAATTTACCTACTACGCGGGCAGATTACGCACTTCTGCCGCGTTTATTGTGCACAGATTACTAGCGACGTTTATTCTGCCCTTCGACAAAAGAAAATTCAACCTTTGTTCAGCGCTGCAGCTGCCTATGGCGCAAAGCAGTATCGCTCACGTACTGCACATGCCGAGTCGGGTGCTGTTTCCGCGTTCGAATGTATGTACGAAAAATTCCTGCAAGAGCATACAACCACAAATGTCGGTGTTCACCGCTCACCCCTTCGCCAAGAGATCACGCAGGGACTCATCGTAGATGTCCGGGCATTTGAAGAATATGGGGTACTGCGTTCTGACCGTGAGGTACTTGTCCAGGGTCTCCTGTGCGGAGCTCATGCAGTACTTGCGTGCGCGCAAGAACCTGAGCAGGAATTTGTCATCTGCGACACAGAAAAAAAAAATACAGAGTCAGCAATAAAGTTATTCAATGACTACAGAATGAGTGACGCGGTAGACAGATATATATATATATATATATATATATATAAATAAATAAATATATATATATATATATATATATATATATATATATATATATATATATATATATATATATATATATATATATATATATCGAACGCGTTATTCGAAGGTCGTAGGTTTGATTCCTGCTCACGGCAAGTTATTTTTTCACCAACTTTTCTTTCTTCTTATTTACATTACATTGGTTCTAGTAACTTCCCTTATACATTCCTTGGCATTATTGTCTGTTGTGCCTGTGCGTGTTGGGTTTCTTTCAACGACTTCTACTTTGCGGGTAATATTTATTACGATTTCAATTGTAAAGCGACAGGTGGCCTAGGAAGAACACGTTGTGTAGATCTCTTCGCGGAACAGCTTGTAGGGCTAAGTGTTGATTACCCAAACGAACACTATAGTAGCGGCCCATAAGAATATCGTGAGCGCTGGTGAAGGGGTATTTCAAACCTTTGAGTGAATGATAATAACGAACTTGAAACCAGGTAAAGATAAAAAATATGAACACTTGCTTTATGGATATAGACAACGAGTTACTGTTACCTTCGTAATGCGTCCGTGACGTGAGAGTGAAACTTTATTCAAGAAAAAAGGAAATGAAGGATTTTGGAGCTTCTATGGTTGCGGCCTTGTGTACAAGTCTCCACTGGCCTTAGCCGCCCGCCGGACTTGATCGAGGAGCTGCACTCCAGGGTCCGAGCTGGCGAGTTGAGCCTCCCACTGCTCCACACTAGGTTTTGGAGGTTTGCCGAGAAAATTGGCTAAGTCACTTGGTTTACGATCGGAACCCCACGAGATGTGGTAGAGAGTCGGCCTACTGCTGCACCACGGACACACGGCCGCACAAAGCATTGTGTGTATACCATGTGACTTCATTACATGGGGAAATAGATTTGTCTGAATTTTTCAAAGGTCGGCGGCCTCTTCCCCATAAAAAATTTGTGAGGTCTTCTACATTTTGCCGCGTGAAGCACTGGTGAACGAGAATCTCTCTATGTAAAATTGCTATGGTCATTGACAGAGAGATATTCTTAGCTCGGATTACAAAACGCGCGAGCTAGAGCGCCCGCCCTTTCGTTGCCTTCGAGCCCAGCGTGCCCCGGGCACCAGATCAAGCGATGGTGGTGAGTGAGTTTGGGTCCTAGCGGCTTGAGCCCCATTGCTGGAAGGTGGCCAGTTAAATAGAGCCGGCAGGCCTCCTGGAAATCGGATAAAATAATTGATGACTCTCCTCTACGCTCTTTAAATTTTACGGCTAAGGCTATGGTCATCGTCTCCGCCTTTGTAGCTGAGGTCGTGCGCACGGAGACACTCGTCAGCAGCGTCATGTTGTTGTTGACGACAGTAATTGTGTATCTTTGCCGATCCTAACTGGCGTGAAGCTTCAGAGAACGAGCATGAGAAAATAGGCAAGTTATGAATACCGGTAACAGCTCCGCCAAGTGGTCCTCAATCCAAAGAAAGTTTTCTAAGCTACCAACCACAACACAAAAGGCCGCGTTCTATATCCACAAGTACCTAAATTTAGTTGGTAGGAGAACAAGCTTAAAATAAATTGCATACACGGACATCAATCAGGAACTACGGCAGACGTGAAAAAACAAAAAAAGACAACGCTGTTTTTTGCCACTGTAAAACGAACGCAAGACAATAAGCAGTTCATGAATAACAACTGACAACGGTATAATGTGTTGCCTGTATTTTTAAAGCCAGAATACATCTACAAAATGCGCTTACGAACGCTGCTAGGTCGCAAGACTCAGCGACCTAAAAATACACCTACACCTACTCCATGCAGGGACATTGAAGTCGGAGGTAAGAAACCTTGTGAAAAAAAAAAGAAAAAAATAAATAAAATAAAAGAAGCTTTCATTCTGTTGTAGAGAAGGACATGCTGGCTCAAAATACTTCGGAGCGTTTATTGGCTTTATATTTATCACTTTCCTTCCATAACTTTGGGCATAAAAAGTAGTCTGTCATTGCCGGCGGGAAACTTCATCATTCGTCAGCGACTGCAACGTCGACTTCCCTCGTCTGCAGCAACCGTAAAATCACGTGGTTGCGTTCACGTGTGAATGTCTAAACTCATCTTTTTCTTCATTTTGTTCAGTGATAAAAGGCTAAAACAAAAGCTCATGTAGGCTGCACTCTTTTTAGGATGTGAAATTGTCTTGCAAACATATATAGTGTAGCAAAGCAGAGGGTGCGCCTCATGATATGTTATTAAGCGCGATGCATGCCACTGGCTCGTGCCCCGTGCATAGTAAAAAAAAAAACTGCACCCTGCACGTTCAAATGATAGTGTTTAGCGTTTAGAGTAAGGATTAAACCCGCCAATCACAACCGGGAAACCGTGCTACCATGTCGATAGCAAGCGACGCCCCATTCGTATAGGTCCAAAAGACAAATACAGCTTGTGGGTCGTGAATTCGAGTCACGGATGCACACGACGGGCAATCATGTAGCCCGCTCGTGCAGTCTTTGGTGCTCGAGCTTCCTTCACCACGACCCTCGCTTTTTTTCGTACGCCGAGTGTACACTTGACCCTGGCGGGTACTCGGCCACCTGCCCTAGAAATACACCCCAAAGCGTATATATGGCAAGCTTCGCAAGCAGCGAGCAAAAAAGTATAGGAAATGAGCTCCCACAGATGCGGCGAGTGCGGGCGGTGTTTTGGAGGGCGCACTTATAGACGTGTTTTTTGTCTGTGATCTAGCCTGGCTGAGCCAGGAAATGGTACGAAAAGGAACAGCAGGGGCGTGGAACCGCGCGGCAACGGCGCCATTCCGTTTTCAGCCGCAGGTATGCAGGAATATAAATAAGCGTTATGTTTACTTATTAGCGTGAATGAGTCGTGCTGTACATGCCGGCCCTTGTTTCGTGCGAACGCCCGTATTCCCGCCAAACTTAGAAACCCAGCGGCCTCTCTTTGTTTACGCGCCAATTATCGCGCATGTCTGCGTTTCCAGAAAACTGTTTCCCACTGGAAAATTTGGCACCAATAAAAAGAAGGTCACGTGACCCTCCACTCATTGCAAGGCAAATGTTTCCCCACGGCCGCAAGAAGATGAAGGAAAAACACGTTTGAACAATGTCATCTGTTTTAGTTAGGCTCCCCAAGATGGCACGTACGTTCTGCTTATTTGAATACGAACTAGGTGTTAGGTGCTTTTACTGATAGGGATTAACAACATACTACTCAGCGCGGTGGGCGAGTCTGCTCAAGAATTGTGTTATTCGTTCGGTTTTTTTTTGTTAAATACCGTACCCAAATATTCGCTGCGGTTTACTACTTACGTCTGGTGCAGCCAGCCCTTAAGTGGGCCTATTCTGAAAGCATCTTAACGGTTTTTGAGTGACAACAACGCACTGTCACAGCTAAACTAAACACACGCGATGCCAGTAAGAAATGTTGAAATGCAGTTATGTTCCTTACTACTCATTAAAATTCTAACGCTTTCATGGTTATATCAGAAGAGAGCTAAAAGGTTGCGTTCGAAGCATTGTTGGCGATGGCTGCTGGCCAAAGAAAAAGTGCGTTTTCGGAAAGAAAACTTTGGTTAGTCAATTGTTAGTGCCTTCACATTTCTTATAACCTTTAAGAGGAAGTGCCGTCCCTTCTGGTGTTTAAGGTGCTGGAGGATTTAGGACTTGCGCAACAATTACGAATAGTGCCCCGTTGACGTTCGAATACTGTTCACGCTCGTTACAGTACTACATAGTATTTCGTTTCTATCGGACAGTGCGGTGTCGTTAAGGATGTCGTTCCTTGTACAAAAGCCGTTGCGACCTATAGTAAGCTGTGAAGCACTGCTCTTAAAACAGGAGGCTTCTCACCAGAAAAAGCAAACAGCTTTTCCTGGTGAAAAGCGCCTTCCGGAAGTGAAGTACTGTTTCCGCCCGTTGAGCTGTCTCAATGCGTACAGTTATTTCTATGCCAACTGTTTGGCGGTGCGACACCAGGTGGAGTGGAATATACGTCAAGCCTGCATCGCGCCAATCAGTATTATTTCTTCTGACAGCTGCGCAGACCCTATGCGTTTGTGGGGCCGCCGCAAAAAAGAAACGCGAACGATAACAGTCTGAAACGTCCCACTGCAACAAGATCATCATCACGGCGCGATATTATATAGAACAGTTATAGCTTTCAGTTTGAGCATGATGGATCTTTCTTTGGTTAAGACGCTCTGTCTAATGCTACGAAACGTGCAATAAAGAGTATCTTTCTTTGAATATAAGTACTTGGCGAGTCAGCGGAAGAAGAAACGGAATGCATGAAGCCGCGGTTACTCAAACGCGCACACTTTGGGCAAATTTCGATGTGCAGGCTCAGATCGGAAGCTAGAATCTTTTGTTGTGCAGGTGTCATATGCTGCACTGGTTCTCACAATGCAATTAACCTGGTCAGGATCAACTTTTTCGGCAGAGATTGTTTCTCTTTTGCAGCATGCGTAAGAGAGATAATCATGGTCAAGAAGTTACAACCGGATCAGACACAATTGGGATCGAAGTGAACGTGAGACACCTCTATACAAAAAAAAAATGTCCATACCTTCAATCGTCGCATCCAAAACACGGTAAGCAAAGGTGACCGCTGAATGTTAAAGAGTTAATTCTCACAAAAGGAAAGTTTTGCAACCATAAACCGACAGTTTTCAACCTTTCAGCAGTGTTTGCCAAGAACAAAAGAATGATATCCATTTATAGCACCTGAATCTTGCCAAGGCTGAGATACATTCACTGTCTGAATCTTGGTAAACTCTACTGAAGGATCGAAAACTTTCGGTTTAACTTTCGTCACTAAGGCAAAGGTAGACGTGTAAAGATGCACATAGTGGACACTAATATGCTTCCGACAGAGTATGCGCGATGGTTGCGGAGTGTTGTTCGATGTCCTGTACAGACCCGTGGGACCACTGTGGCTGTGTATGGACTGCCACTGCTTGTTCTCAGCGTGCGCTCAGTGATATAGAATAAGTGGTGTTGTAAGAATGCAATCGCGACTTATACTCATTGAGACTTCAGATCTATTGCTTTACACTTTGTCCCATTGAGACAGCGGTGAACACCCGGAGTGAGACCACGCGTACCTGTCCTGCAGTTGACGAAGTGCGGCTGCTGCTGCACCCACTCTCGCAAAGCCTGGATGGCCTTCATGCGCAGGTCGTCGTCCTCCTCTTCCTCTGGCGGCAGGAACTCCTTGATGGGATCTGCGTACTCGTCCACCATGGCCAGCTCACGGCGCATGCGTTCCTTCTCCTTCTCGAACTTCTTGATGAGTTTGCGGTCCTTCTTCGCCCGTCGGCGGGCCTCCTCCTCCGCCGCTGCATCGGCGGTCGTGTTATTTGTGGACATCGTGTTCGATGCAGTCGCTGCTCCCAGTTACAGCAGCCTCGCTGTGGTGATTCTGCGTAAAAAAAGAAAGCCCTCGTGAGAAGCGGTAATAGGTAGCATTGACAAAAATATAATCGAAGTCACGCCTAAAATCATTTAAAGAAGCCATGACACCTGATTTTCGATCATATTGCGTGCTATGTGTGTTGATCCGCGTGCTGTCACAAAAACAAAAACTGCCAAAATTTTAGCGCATTCGGTGGAGCGTCTAATCTATAATTGAATATTTTCAAAAGCGCGTGAGATGGCCCGACAGTAGGACGACACTGACATACTCGTGAGTCATGACGTCACAAGCATCTGACTGCGCGAGTGTCTGCTCTCCGGTTAAAGGTATGGTTCCGTGCTGAACAGCATGCAAAATCGAGATACTTTAGCTTTCTTCAACTTGGCACTGAAATCGAATGATTTGCAGTGGCTGAACTCTGGTAAAAAACGACGGCTCCGCTTCTTGCAGCACATGATGTCACACGCATCATGGCAAACTGGCAGTTGTCGGCAATGTGTGTAATTTAGAGCGGGGAACTTCGCTGACTTGCTTGCTTTGCACCGAATCATTCTTTCGTGGCTCACTATCTAGAAATGCAAAGTCAGAACCTCTACTTTTAGTTTGCTCTGGAAACCACAAATGCTGGGTGACTGTGTAATGGCCCCTTCAAGACACCGACCCACATTCGCTGAGTAGTGTGTAAACCTTGAAAAAGCTACACACCAACTAGCCCGACAGCATACGGTCCTGTGCTTGGCAGGGGCACACACACGTCAGCGTTTGTGTATACCCTGCTGCATTCGTCGGGTGTTTCGTCGCGCTGCGGAATCCACCTCGGTGGACAAGTGGCTAGGGTGCTCGGCTGCTGATCTGAAAGTCGTGGGTTTGACCCTGGGTCGTAGCAGTCGCATTTTGATGAAGGTGGGATAGCACAGGCCCGGGCACTGTGCGATGTTAGTGCACGTTAAAGAACACCGTAGATGCTCGAAATTTCCGGAGCCCTTCACAACGGCGCCTCTGATAATCATATCGTGGTTTTGGACTTAAAACCCCAGATAGTATTATTAGAGTCGCGTTGCGGAAGCAGATCTCGGAGGTCATGCAGAAAGAAGTGCGTGCTCGAGATCTGCTCCGCGACGTACCGCTAGTCACCACCACCCCCAAAAAAGCATCTACATTGTCGATGAACTCATTCAAATAATTCTCATTAGATAGCATGATAGGAATCGACATTTGTCTTAAATGTATGCTACGACATCACATGCATTGAAATTACTTCTTAATTTGAAACAAAGACGACCGATTTAATTCACACCTGTTTCTTTATTAGAAGGGTTTCAATTTTCTGAAGACCAAGAGGGCTTGGAAGGAACGAAAGTTTCACTCCGTACTCGTGCCATGAGTAAAATAACGTTAGTTATAGGCTCACGCCATGAAATATATGTATGTAGTTTTAAGACGAACTCCCTTAAGGCCTCACACTCGCAATGACCATGGTTTTTCATTCTCTGGATTGGTGCCAGCTATGGCCTCTCCCCCTCGCACTCTCTCAGCAATCACGTGATTGCATAAAGAGTGCAAAAGAATTTTAAAAAAGAGATGGCAGCGTCAGTCAAATAGCTACAGGTTTTCGCCGAACACACTTTGGAATTTAAAAAGTGTGTTTAAGTATTCGGGCGATTCGAATTACAAAAGTCAGACTGCATATAATGGAACTGAGCTTGAGCGTTATTTACAAGGGTGCAGAACACGCACTGATGGACAAACGGGAGCCTATGTACGTGCGTAGTTATAGAGTGCACGAGCAAGGACGTGATTTTGTCTTTTCTTACCATTACTAATTAGTATCATTTGAAGATTAAAAAATAACTTTGCGTTTTGATGGGCTTGTACAAACATATTTTTCAGATGAAGAAGCTTTGACTTAGTATTGAGGCCATAATAGAAACGGCTCTGAGCGCGATTAAAATTCGTAAGGATGTTCACAGTTTTCTATGAAACTCAGTTTTCACATAACCACCCTGCGCTTCATAGAATATGGTAAACTATTCTTCAGCAAATTACACATCGATATCTTGCAAGCGAAGCTACCACTGCTAATGGTAATATATAGCAGCAGAGAGTTTGCTTCGTCATGGACAGGTGGTATATGGAGTAGCCGATGTCGAAAAAAAAAAAGAAACAAAGGCGCGCTACCAGTCAGAAGACACATCCGTAAGAACGAGTTCCTTAAGAGCAGGTGAATGAATTTTCACTCGGGGCTAATATCTCCAGTTCGGAAAGCACAAATGATATAATTCTGCACTACGAAGCGAAACTTTGGCCATGAGCGACGCTGCTGTGGAGCTTCCCTGATTAGTTTTAGCTTCGTTAAGGCGAGCACAATATATCAGGTGGCTCCTTTTTCGTGTTCTACATTGTTTCATTTTCTCACATGAGTATAAATATCGACATCCTGTTAAACAGCACTGTATGACGCCGTCTCTATGGATGAGCAAAACCAAATACTTATGATTTTTTAGCAGTGTGTTTTCTCTTCCCATCACTGGTGCATGGAAAGGAGGAGTACAATGTTTGGTCGCTCCGTATTTCCGCTTTATACGTCATTTTACGATGTATTGTGCACAGTTGCAGCAGCGTACAATAAAATTACCACGCACGGCCACGAGGAACAATGGCGAGAAGAATGTTCCAATCAGGAAGAGGGTCGACATGATAGGCTCCATTATTGTATTGTAGGCAGTTACCACCCTCTCTTGATGGTGCCACAAGAAAAGGCGCCTCCCGCCTCCGCGATCTTCCCTTCTCTTTCACTGAGCTGCCGAGAAAGAAGCTTCCCAGCAAACAACCCCCGCAGCGGGCTCTGACTGACCAAAATAGTCGCCCGCCCCTGAAGAACACACGCGGAAACCCGCTCTTCAGGACCACGCGATGACCATGTGGGGCACCCCGAGACCTTTCTGACCCACTTGTGATCTCTCGCCCAACGAAACGCGGCGGATGATAACGAATGTTTTCCCATGTGTGGCCAACTGTCCTTCAACTAGGCTAGCATGAGTGTTAGCCATAGTAGTAATGGCATGCCACGTAGCGAAAGCTGCGAACCAAGTACTTTTATGCTGATTCTTTAAACTTTAGTGCACGCTGTACTATGCCGCCCGGGTCATCCTCGTTTATATACTATAGGGCTGTCCCAGAATGCATATATGTGATAGTACACAGCTCTTGTACATCACCGCAACGATTGAGCGGGAGGCATTGATGCCCAGCTCCGAAACAGATGAGCGGAAACGTATCATTGGGCGGGCAGAAGCAGTCGCCCTGAATTAGGGGATCCGGGCAGATTAACCGCGGTTTCTTCATCGACTGAAGTAGCCACCTGTAGTGGGTTACAAAAAAAGCTTTGTACTCCTCCCAAGGCTAAGGTAACATTATGTATAGTGCTGGTAGATGCACAAGAAAGTGTTGAGTGCTCGTTTATTCATCTTTCCGATGCTCAAGGACTTACGTACGGGATGAACCAGCTTTCAGCAGAGCTTACACAGACCCTAGAATTCTGGAAACTAGAGAGTGAAGGAAGGAAAAGCAATACAATAAAAGCCGCGTTTAACAATATTCAATGTCTGGTTGGCTACTCTTCAACAAATGAGGCAGAAATGATGAAAAGAAAGGGAGTTAAAGGCGAATCTGTATGCCTTTGCGTACAATTTTTAATCAGTTCTGAAGCTTTCAAAGAAAAATCTTTCAGAGAAACTCCGGCCGAATCTGGCATGGGCCAGAGTGAAAAGTCATTAGTTTCAGCAAGCAGGACGTTGTAAGTCCGTTCTAGCTCGATTTCCTTTTACGCAGTACTGCTCTGGCGGTCTCATTCTGACATTTCTTTCTGATGCGGCCGCCTGAAACCCCAAAAAGCTCATGGGTACCCAGACGTCACCCTGGCACTGCTGCAGGTATAGCTTTCGGTGAAGTAGAGCACAGCCGTTGTTGTTCAGCTCAGCTGAGTCTGTCTGAAACCATCCCTACGCTGCACAAAGCTGCGTCTGGATGCACTTTACGTACGTTGAATGGAGCGATCACAGTATGAAGATGGATGTCACGAGAGGTCATTACGCCGGGCCTAGCCCGCTCGCTTAACCCACGACTACCTCGCCGCTAAAGTGAAGGAGCATCTCCACATCCACGCCTGCACCGGTCACGCGGTTTTGGAGGTCTTCGTGGCCCCGTGCTCGACATTCGCTTTCGTGCGACCCTGACGTCATGGCCGGCCTCTGTGTGCTCTAGCTCACGCGTGAGAGACTCCAGGAAGCGGACGAACGATCGGGCGCCGCTGCTGGCGCTGCAGAGCACGGACTCTCCCCTTTCGTGCCGCCATTCTTGCCTGGCCTGCGGGTTCTATTCTACCACATGTGCTTCGCGTGTAGTTCGCTGTGACCCTCTTTCTAGGTGTGCCCGTTTGTTCCGCCACTACGGCCCTTATGCGTGCATGGCATTCTTCCAGAGGCGAGGAGAAAACTCTTCTCACTTTTCACCACGGACGCCGCGGTACCGTTACCGTAAAGCGCTGTCGTAACGGTTCCTTCTTTTTCCTTTCGTTATTTACGCTTCGCAGTTGGTCATGGCCCGTTCACGGATGTGGACATGGGGACTAGACAGAGGACAGATCGCCTTGCTGCAGTGGTCTAGTGGCTAAGGTACTCGGCTGCTGACCCGCACGTCGCGGGATCGAATCCCGACTTCGGCGGCTGCATTTTTGATGAAGGCGAAAATGCTGTAGGTCCTTGTCCTCAGATTTTTGGGTGCATGTTATAGAACCCCGGGTGGTCAAAATTTCCGGAGTCCTCCACTATGGCGTCTCTCTTAATCATATAGTGCTTTTGGGACGTTAAACCCCATATATCAATCAATCAGAGGACAGATCAACTGGCTTATGCCGCTTTGAGCAAACGACTGAACTGAAGGTGAAGTTGAAGTAAACGTCAGTTCCACGGAACGGGCCATTTTCTATTGCTAAAAAAGTGTTA